GATAAGACCTCAGCAGCAGGAAATTTTGGATCCTTACTATTCTGGATCCCCTAATCTTAGTATAACCAGCCAATCAGCTTGTGTTTGCTTTGTTCATGCCCACCTGCTTCTCTGGCTGTTTTTATCTGGCTTTCGTATCTACTATCTGTGCATCACTTCTCTATTATGTCACTTCTGCTTAGTCAGAATTTTGGCTCATTCATAGCTCCTTATGGCCCATCCAGCTTCTCTCTTCTTTCCCTGTTAGCCACAACTATGGCTGCTATCTTAATCGTAAATATTGAGAATCTAGTTTTTAGCAAGTTCCTTCATAGAGCACCTGACTGCCCTAAACTCAGAAACCCTCCTTGGATAAGGGTGTAACATGGGAAGTTGCTGCCTGAGAAGAATCACAAGTGTGGCAGGCACCGCTAGTGCGTGTTGTATGTAATGTTACTCTTAAGTAAATAACTGGTCACCTAAGATGATACTTGCCTTTAAAGGGAAAGAAAGAGACAGAGATCACCCCAGTCAGCAAAATACAATCCTGATCTAATGTACTTTTTCGGTTAAAAAATGTGTATATACTTATAATGTGTTTGAAGAGCAGTTTATTGTTTTGAGTCAATAACTTTCTTCTCTAGGAAGCAACCTCCCTTTTTCCTTATGGATTTTGTAGATCAGGAAATCTTATGCCCAGTCTCAGTTGTAAATTGTCTTAAATTCTGAAATACTGATACCCGAATCCTGAGATATGGTTTGGTATTGTCTTTTTTCCTGGATTTAAAGTGCTGTGAAGTAGCTCATCCTGTTTATGTAATGGTGATAAAATACTGAAAAATACACCTGAAACCTGATAATCTTTGGGGAACTAATTTTCCTATGTTAATAGTTTTATCAGTGGTATCTTCTCCATGGATATTGAGAGGAGAATCTGATTTTCCCAAATTTCATGAAGTATTTGGCGGTCTGGTATTTCAGAGATGAAAGTTTGTTAATATCCTCTGGGAGATCTCTCAAGGTTGCTTGGTTTTCCTCTTGAGGGTCACTTTTAAGTATCCCTTTTTTCCCTGTTCTCTTCCTCCTGAACCCCATTCTGCTTCACTTTCAAAATGATGGCTAGAGGGTTGGATGTGTTAGTGACTCATGAACTGCTGAGTCCTAAACTTTGGTGTCTGTGTCCCTCAGAATCTCAAAGGGCAGTTTCCCTGTGACTTTTCAAAATGAGAACCATGTTCAGAAAGTGCTGCCTTAGTTTGGTTGCAGATCACTTGAAATGTAATCTGATTTGAGAGGCAGTGTTTAAGCTTCTGTTTACCGAAAGGTTGTTTTGATTATTATTTGCAGGAATTGTTGCTGGGTAAAAGACAAATGAACAACATACTTGGAAGAGATGACCAAATGGTCTGATTTCATGTTGGAAAGTTTCTTCTGGTGGTCTTGAGTCTGGGTTTTAATCTGCTTAAAAATGCCTTTATAGCACGTAAGGAAAATTAAACATTATTATTTTATTAAAACTATGTAGTGCTCCTTATTTAGGAGAAAAATCTTTTAAATCCTTTTTGGTAAGGCCATGTGTAATTTAAGGCTTTCATTTTGACAGCATGGTTTCAGCTGATAGGTATGTTAATCTCTATTTGATTGCTTTGATGAGGAGTTGAAAATCACCTAATGCCTGGCTTAGCGTGCATTTATAAATGCGCTTTCTTTTGGTTTTCATTTCATGCAATAATGAAGTGAATTTTCCTACTGTTATTTTATTATAGATTTGACAGTTTATCTGATTACCAGATTTAAACAAACAGTGGAACCATATTCCCTGTAGGCTATGTCCCTTTGTTTACCCTTTTTTTTTTTTTTTTTTAATGCTGGTGGATCTTTATCAGCATTATTATCAGTACATAATATATGTATAGAGCTTCTTCATCAGTTACCTTGTAGCATAACAGTGCTCTAAGAAAGTGATTTTTTTTTTTTAGGTTTAAGGATTTCCTATTCTTTTCTATTTTGGTTTAATTTTTTATTACATTGTTTTCTTTTTCCCCTTGTTAAGTGCCAAAGTGTATATGAAGATGATTATATATAGAACATATGACTATATATAATCTTTTTCTTTGTGTTTACAGAGGCAAAAATCTATTTGTGTGTTTGTGTGTGTAAAGCAATACATGACAAAAGAAAAATTATTCATAATAGAAGTTATTTGACTCTGGGGGAGAATTTTACTTTATCTTTTGAGGTAGAGTAATCTTTAGAAAAAATATTCAAAGTCAAAATTCTGGGAGGGATTTTTTTCTCCATACATGAGGACTTTTAGAAGCAATTCAAGTTTGTATCAGATAATTCTGATACAAACACCTGCTGTGTGCCACGGACTGGTCCAATTACTCAGCATACTTTATGCCTGATCCTTTCATCATTCCTGTGAGGGTTGGTGTGATTATCTCAGTTTGACAAATCAGGAGGCAGATACTTGGATGATCACAGCCTGTTGAAGGTCACACAGCTGGATCTGAACCTAGTCATGGCTGTTTGCAAAGCCCTCATCCTTGCTATGGTCCCCTTTGCCTCCTCTGCTTTTGCTGTCTCACCTAGCTTTACAATTCTCAAACTTCAGGACAAGAAGTTAATTTCTTTTGAGACAGAGTCTCACTCACTGAGGCTGGAGTACAGTGGCACAATGTTGGCTCACTGCAACTTCTTCCTCCCAGGTTCAAGTGACTCTCCTGCCTCAGCCTCCTGATTAGCTGGTATTTCAGGCACGCGCCACCACACCTGGCTAATTTTTTTTTTTAATATTTTTAGTAGAGACTGGGTTTCACCGTGTTGGCCAGGCTGGTCTCAAACCGCTGATTTCAAGCGATCCACCCCCCTCGGCTTCCTAAAGTGTTGGGATTACAGGTATGAGCCACCGTGCCTGGCCAAGAAGTAAATTTATAGAAGAAAGGTGCCTATTTTTAAAGTAGCATTACCTGGTAATTGGAGGCAACTCCAGGCAGACCCTGGTTCAGAGCCTAGTGGCATCATTTGCTAGCTTTGTGACTGAGAGCCAGTTACTTGGCCTCAGTGTGCTTTGCAGTGTTTTAGCACCAAATCTGGACCATCATATTGGCCTTGCAGAGTTGTTTTAAGGATTAAAGATCACGAATGTGTAATACATAGTAAATGGCAATGATGATCATGATAATAGCTGTTAGCACTGAGGAGTTGTTATTATGTGTCAGCATACTTAGCTCATTTAGTCCTTACAACAACCCAGTGTACAGGTACTATTGTCCCTGTTTTACGTGGAAAGTTCTCAGTGTGTGAAGGCTCTTGTTATTTATATTTTGCACATAAGTATGCCCTTCTATTGGTATGGCTAACTGAGGATTCACTGACTAGGGAATTCACTGTCATTCAATAAACATTAGTTAAGCACCTCCTATAGGGTAATTAAAATAGATAAAGGTTCTCTTTCAAACCTTATATTTTTGTGATTACTTTTTACATATTTGTCTTCTAACTGGTTTTATTTGTGGTGTTACAAAGGGATTAATCTTATGGTACCTTAAGCACTTAAACATTTCACATACAGGAAAATCATGAATGGAAGTGCTTACATTCCAAACCACTTTTTATATGCCTTCAAAATAATTAATGCTATTACATTGGCAAAAGGGCTCAGAAGATACGAGGAGATGAGGAATCTTCTAAAAATACCCTCTACTACTCCTCTCATTCTTTCTTCTGTCACACAAAGTACCCAAAAATGCAATTGATAAATAAGTTGCATAAAGCAGCAATCCTCATGGCCTGGGTTTAGAAAAGTTATTAGCATTAATGCTAAAGTGCTGACAGCTGAAAAGAGCACAGATGAATTCTGGCAGTGGACTCACAGTTCATCATAGCAGGGAGAGGGATTCCCACACCAGCTGAAAACACCGTGGGGTTTCGCTCGTGTGCTTCCCACCATTGAAACCAAACTAGAATATTCAGCCAAAACAGCAGACTGTTAGACATTTAAAAGAATTAAAAAAGACGCAAATGCACTACTCTATAAACATGCCTGTCATCTCCTGGCTGGTAGTGCAAGGCACTGTGTGGGCTAGGAAAGTTCTTCCTTCCATGTTAGAGAAAGTAGAACTATACTTACTAAATCGTGAAACAGAGTGGGAAGAGTGGAGAGTCTATTCATTAGAAAGACCTGAGCGACTGTGAGCTAGCGGAAGGTCAGAATTTAAATCTCCCTGCTTTTACTTGACCAGACGATAGGTTGATTATCCTCCATCTCTCTATTTGGTCTTTGTTGCGCTCCCGTGAGCGCCAGCGTTGCTACATCTTGGTGATCCAAAGAGGAAGCGTCCTTTGTGGTCTGACCTTGAGGAACTTGGAAAGTCTGCAGGAGAGAAACATACAGGGAAATGGTTATATCCTGTGAGGTAATTCTCTGGTGGAGGTGTGTAACTAATTCCATCTCCAAAGTCCTTCTGTGTTTCATCAATAGCATGTTGTATATTTGTACTATTGATCCTAAAGGAAGGGATTTCAATTCGGAAATTCCAGCCATCCACCCTGTGTTGCAGACTAGTTGTCTTGTTGCAAGACAGACTAGTAGGACTAATGTTTTCATAAAACTTGGCAATGTTGTTCATAAAAATAGTTTTTGAAGTTTAGTGCTACCTATACAAACATGGGTTAAATGCTAACATTGACTGAATATATTTGTAAGTGTGTGTGTGTGTGTATTTGTTTTTTGATATGCAAATATTAACATCATGTTCTAGCTTGTATGTAAACTCTGGACTCTGAGACAATCAATGTTTAAACTTTCAACAAGGAAGAGAAATAATGAAAAGAAACAATGTTTTTTTTGTTTTACCCAGCAACTAAATTTACCATTGTTCTAAGAACTCAACAAATGACCACAGGATGTGAATTTAATCGAGTTGTGCCTTTGAACAAAGGTATCCTGGTTATAGTGGAATTTTTTACTTCCCATCATCCTGCTCATGTGTTCACTTTCCTGCCTGTTCTGAAATCACCAGCAGTTCAGCATGACTTACCCGAGTAAGTAACGAATTACTGCAGTGCAAAGGAAGCCAACCCAGGAAACAAAATGAATCTGATTTCTACCTTTTACTAGAATAATACTAAATGAAGTGACTTACTTAAAAAAAAACTGACCCCTGCAGTGCAGCGTAGATTTAGTTGAAGGTGCTATTTAACTGAAAGTGAGAGCAGTGTATATAATCTTGATCTCCTCAATTGGACACATGTTCAATTATATTATTTTTGACAAAAAGTTTTTTATTTCATCCAGAAGAAGCTAAGCAAGCATTTAATGAAGAACTGTTAGGAACTAGAATTTCTCTACAAATACTGCCTTTGATTTTATGGAATATTTTTCTTGGTCCAGTTGAAATGACTTGCCTTTGATTTTGACATCTCTTTTGGCATTCACTATACATGTTGTCTCTTTGGGAGAAGAGGGCTGTGTCTTCGTAATCATGTTAGTCATCTCTCCCACCTCATCAGTGCCGTATTACTCGCTGCTCTGCCAAGTACTTTTTACATGCACATCTCATTTAATACTGAGAGCAAGCCAATGAGGAAAATGAAGCCGAAGATTTAAAGTATTTGCTAGGGTCAAATTGAGTTTCTCTCTCTCCAGAGTCTCTAAGTCCATTGTTAACCATTATGCTGTGCTGCTTAGAGTGATTTTCTCTTTGCCCCAGGAGAACTCTCACTAGATAAACCAACAGCATATTCAGTACATGTGTGTTGCTTCTCAGCAGACAAGTTCTTGGCTTCGCTGGGCATTTGTTGCTGTCGCTAACAAAGTTGTTTAGTTTCCTTTCATTATTGGCCCTTACTTGTGATCCCAGCACTTTGGGAGGCTAAGGTCGGAGGATCGCTTGAGGTCAGTAGTTTGAGACCAGCCTGGGCAACATAGTGAGACCCTTGTCTCTACTTATAAATATATATATTATTCACATTAAAATGTATTAACAAGGAACAACTTTGACTATCATCATTTTTCAAATACACAAGCAAAGGAAGGCTCTTCATTTCTTTCTTTGGACAGTACCTCATAGCATGCCATTATGTTTCAAGGTGCACTCTATAGTAAGGTGAGCAGATAATGCTTGGTTGAGAAAGTTTGAAGCAAACTTGTGAATCAAAATTGGCAAAAAAAAAAAAAAAATCAAAGCAAGAAAAGTAGGTTAAAGGAACTTGACCTCTCTTCCTTTTTAATATCAAGGTAACTTGTGAGGGCCTGGAAGGCATCTATCAAGTTGTGAACACAGTCTCATCTTTTAAAATGTTGATTCTAATAAATGGCTTTTTTAGTTCCTAAACCTGGACCATCAGACAACACTGAGATTGCCAGGCGAGCAATTGTGAGACCAGAGTTTTGTTGCATTGAGAAGAGTTCTTGCTTACCCCAGACCACTTGGAGAGAAGATCAGGAAGGGGTTAGATATGTTTTCTTTTTCTTTAGCTAGGGGCATCTGCCTGACTGGCATTGGGTTTCGACAACAGAGGGATAGAGGAGACCTACACACAACTCTCTGTGATTTAGTAGGAAGGGAGGAAGTAAAATAAGTCACAGAAAAGCCTTCCTTTCCCTAAGGAAGTGGACAGAGATAGAGACCTCTTCTGTCCAGGGTAGGAAGTCCCCATAATATCTGACTTATCTGTATTCTGCTAGGCTTTTGAGCAATAAATTGAGAGCTAAGTATATGTGGAAAATATCTGAATACACCCAAAATATCTGAAGACGTTTTTCTTTTTCTTTGAGACAGACTCTTACTCTGTCGCCCAGGCTGGACTGCAGTGGTACAGTCTTGGCTCACTGCAACCTCCGCCTCTGGGTTCAAGTGATTCTCCTGCCTCAGCCTCCCCAGTAGATGGGATTACAGGCGCCCGCCACCATGCCTCGCTAATTTTTTCTTTTTTTTTTTTTTCCCCCAGTAGAGATGGGGTTTCACCATGTTGGTCAGGCTTGTTTGAACTCCTGACCTCAGATGATCCACCCACCTTGGCCTCCCAAAGTGCTGGGATTACAAGTATGAGCCACTGTGCCTGGCCCTGAAGATTTTTTTTTAACTTACTGGACATACAGGACATGTTTGGTCCACTAACGTGCACTGGGTACCATATAGGACTTGTGAGATAATTGAGATTTTGTTGGGACATTCCTTTACTCACTGCCCTGTTGAGGTAACATTGTCCCAAAAGGATTGATGTTGCTTTGCCGGGGACTGTCATCTGGGAGACTAATTGGGCTCGTCTTCTCTCCCGTACAAACAGTGCTCAATGGAAAAGAGACGAGAAAAGTATAAAACATCCCAGATTTCCTACTGCTTTGCTCTGTTAGATTCATTTCAAAGACAGGGCAGTTGATTGTAGAAGGTGATATCCGATGCCATGATCTATCTCTGATGTTTGAGGACTTAATTTCTGTTCTTGCATATTATTTAATATGTGGCCCCAATCTGCTTTTTCAAGTAATCTTCCTTTACTCCTCAGCAGTGCTTTACTGCTTCCTGAAAATAATGGGTAGTCCCACCTTTTTGCCCTTGTTGCTCCCCTGCCTACTTTTTAGAGTGCTATCATCTCACTGTTTCTTCCTCAGTATACCAGTTATGTGAATCTTGCAAGTTTCAACCTAAATATCTGTCCCAAATTCTTGATTCATAGGATTCTTAGGGAAAATCATCTGTAGCTGTGTCAAACAGCATCTTGGGAATAAAGCTTATTTCCTCAGGTAGCTTTTTAAGTTCCTGAAGAATTAAGAAGCATGCCTTTCCTGAGTTTTATGTCGTGGGTAAGATGTAACGTGGCTCATGCCACTTGGCAGGAGCTGGTTGTTGTTTGTTGAATGGCTGCATGAACTTCTATCAACCTTTTGACTTTCCTAATAGCTTTCTCTATGTTTAATTCAGGCTTTCTCCATGTCTTTTTCAGAGTCTAGACCTTTTGGAATCTGCTTTTATTTCTTACACTTTTTTTTGAGGGGATTGGGGAAGAGTGTATTCTGTGTTCTTGTCTTTACCCTCTATGGCTGGAATTACTTTTGGAAAGATGTGACACTGTTTTGACTTTGTCTCTGAGCCTTTCTACTCCGAGACAAAATCACAGGAGTTTCTCTCAGGACAGCCATGTTCTTTAGGTGACTTGGCCCTTGCTCTAGCAAACCCACCTTGGTTGAGGTTTGCCTTGGAGCAGTGGAAGAGTAGTGGACGCGAGTACCACTGTCCTGAGTCCCAACCTTGGTATGCATAGTGCTGTGCCTCACAGTCACTATTTTTGGTGGTAGGACTTTGTCCAGTCAACTTTGTGGAAAAGATGATACATGTTGAACACTGCAAAAGTGAACTCCCCAAGATATTCTTCTGGGAAATTTTCTGAGCTTTTGTGGTTCATTACAAGTGACTGGTCTAATTTGGACATTCATCTTTGCTGTCCCATGGGTCTTGGCAAGTGACAGCCACAGTGCTGATGTTTCAGAGGAGAGAGGCTTTGTTAGAGCACAGGGTTATCTGGGAGCCCTCTTCCAATTTATGTTGTCTAGTTCTGTTTAAATTATTTTTCTATTACAATTTTCATTAGCAAAAGTCATGCCAGTCATTTCCATTTATTGACTACTTAATGGTGACATGGTATTAAAAGATGTTTATATGATTCTTACATATCTTAGTGCTTTCAAAATAGAGACTTTTAATGATTTACTGCTAGTAAGCTATTGCTGTCTAAATCATGATAACATGGACATGATCTTAGGATTAGTAGTTACGCTTTTTTCCTCCTCCCCTCCATAGGTCATTATGTTTCTAGGGCTGGCTTTGATGATTAAATACATATACAGTCAGCCCTCCATATCAATGGCTTCTGCATTTGTGGATTCAAGCAACTATAGATTGAAAATATTTGGGAAAAAATAGATGGTTGCGTCTGTACTGAACATGCACAGACTTTTTTTTCTTGCCATTATTTCCTAAACATTATGGTATAACAGCTGTATACATAACATTTACATTGTCTTAGGTATTACTCTAGACGTGTGATTTAAAGTATACAGGAAGATGTGCATATGTTATATGCAAATGCTACATCATTGTTTACAAGGTTCTTGAATGTCCATGAATTTTGGTATTTGTGAGAGGTCCTGGAACCAATCACCCCTGAGTACTGAGGGGTGGGGCTGAGGATAGGATAACTGATGATCCCCACATAATAAAAATATTCTGAAATGTCAGTTTATATGATTCTTTGATTTTTCCAGATCTATATTTCTGCTGTATGGGAAGGTAATAAAGGTTATGATAAATAATTGGAATAATTCCCCTTCCTGCATCTTGAGACTGGCCTTTTTCTGGCTGATAGAAACCGGGGGTTTCTAATTCATGCTGAATCTGAATCTCCTCCTCCAATAATGAAGGTCCATAGGAGATTCTACCAAGTGAATCTGCAATGGAATGCATTCCCTTTGTGACTTAAGGAATTCAGACTCATTACTTTCTAGGCACACTTTGTGGAATGTTCTTTAATAACATTGGAGAGTGGGGTGCTTTTCAAGACACAGGTAGAGCTTCAGGGAAACATGTAATCACTGATTTTGGTTTTGTGAGTTTATTCAGGTTCATAAGATAATGGCTTGTAGAAATACAACCCTGGCAGGTCTGAACAAAATCTCCTTTTCTCAATAGATCATGACTGTCTCTGCTGAGAACCTAGGGCTAGAGCTCGCTGTATTCCAACCAGTGCCCCTCTGAGCTCCTGGGCTGACTTTTAAAAATGCCTCATTCCTAGCAGGTTGGTTAGGTAAAGCTTCCTGGTATGGGAAAGGGGCAGGTATGCTGGTAGTCACCAAGCTGGGGAGTGCCTGGCACAGAGCTGGTGACCAAGACCTCCTCAGGAGATGAAAGTTCACTGCTGTTCACGAGTTCATCCATGCCTAAGAGATGTGGTGGTGACATTACTCTTACCTTTAGAAAGTTGAAAGCACACTAATAATGTCTGCTTTTGAAGGTGGCTTATAACAACGTTTCTCTGCCTAAAAACTTGTATTTCTGTAAGATTTGTTCAAGCTGATGATGGCAATTTGCCACTTCATTA